TACCTTGATGCGTATAGGACAACAGGCGTGTTTAGCTCGTACCCTCGAGACTCTAGCTATCGATGCGTATTGTATCCAAGAGACTCGCATTCAAAACTAGCTCCGCCATTCGATTGACGTCCCCGTCAAACTCATCTGCGAAGTTTCACCTGCGTCCTTCTGGGGACCCTGAGGCTGCGGCTTCTGGTCTTGCTGGCGTTGGCGTGGCTCTCAGTGAGAGAGCTGAAACCGCGCTCCTGGATTAGATCCCAGCCGACAGCAGATTATGCACGGTGAGACTTAGAGGCTTGTGCAAAGTAAATAGTCGTCACTCCGAAAGGCGCAACTTGTTTATCGTCTCAGCGTACGCACCTACGAACTGTAACCCAGATACAGTCAAAGATACTTTCTACCAAAATCTCCACGATCTCTTGCGTAAGGCAAATCGGGCTGATATCGTGATTTTAGCAGGAGATATGAATGCTAAGGTAGGACGACTGACTTCGAGTGAGGCTTATCTGGGTGGTTCTTTCGGATTAGATTCCTGTCGCTCGGCAAACGAGGAACGACTGCTACCTCCATGTTCTGACCAACTCCTATTCCTCGCCAATACGAACTTCAGACGCTCCATCTTCCGATACGCCACTTGGCGTCCACTCTCCTCGAGTCAGCGACAAACGCAGATAGACCACATCGTTATAAGCCACAAATGGCGGGGTTGTATTCAAGGCTGCCGATCGTACTGGTGCACTACCCTCGAATCCGATCACGCGTTAGTTTGCACCAAGCTGTCCATGTACTTTGGTGGACGTCCTAAAAGTACGACACAGTAGCGGTTAGACTGCGATAAGTTGTCTCAACCAGCATGCTTAGCCGTCTTTCAAAATGCGCCAGCTGAAAAGCTAGAACCAACCCCACATGATGATTGTGTTAAGCTGCCTCCGTAACCAAAATTATCCACTGCTTTATGAACCACCATTGCTGTAAATAAGCTCTGGCATATCCGGGTCATGCTGTAACTGTTTGATCGGCACAGTAGTTCTAGGAACAAACACTTAGAAATGGCCGACGCCATGTTTGAGCTGAAAGCCCTTTCTTGCCCAAGATCACCACGGACAGTAGTGTTGTCCTCTTTTTCCTTTTTATTCATCTTTTAATGGATTTGATTCTGGAAACAGCTCTGTCCGCATGCGAGGATCACGGCATCAATATGCCTCCGGGTGGTAACGTAGTCATTGGTTAGGGATACTGGGTGTGGTAAACAGTGCATCTACCCAATTGATCAGCACTCTTGGTCTACCTGAATCACCCCACCTTGTTAATGCCCCCAGCTTTCTAGAATTTCCAGTTGGGCTGACAAAATACTGCAGTCAAAAGTACAAGGTTAATGATTGTATAGGCTGAAAACCTGATTGAATTCAGCAACTGGCTAACCTTTGGTACAGTTTTCTCTCACCTGATATCAGTGTGTGCTTTGCCAGCATTACGTGAGCGAAAAATCCACAATGCTTGACCGTATAACACAAACAAAGCCTATTCTCAACTAGTCGAAGGATGCTTTTGTTAATCATACTCGGCACTGGGTCACGGTAGGTGTTCAGGTGTGCCCGACCAATGCTTGCGTAACATGGTTTGTCCCCTTAGTCGAACCTCGTCTACGGTCAAAGTTCGTCAGTCAGTATGTGCCTGGCATCGACT